TAATAATAATAATAATAATAATAATAATAATAATAATAATAATAATAATAATAATAATAATAATAATAATAATGAGTTGGTGGAAGGTGTCAAAAGGTGGCTGAGCTCACAGCCATACAGAAGCTTATTCGCTGATATGGCAAGTGCCTCAATTCCGGTGGTGACTATGTTGAGAATTTGCCTATGTATGTATATATATTTTTGTATATAAATTTTTTTTATCAGTGCTTGTTTTGTTAATAGCTAACTCGAGGTTACTTTCCAAACAGCCCTAGTATAATATCCATAGTACTATATTCTTGCACCCATTCTATCAACTAAAACTGTCCTAGATGGAGTTCCAAAAGGGAAGCAAAATGAAACATACTGGCAGGATGTCAGACATAAAAGGTTATGTGTACTAGCCATTCAAAGGTGGTTCATTTTACTAATCATAGACACAGACACAAAAGAAATTAGCTTTCATAATCAAAACATAAAATACTACCATCTATCATAACAACGTATTAATACAAAAATCTTTAAAGACAGTTAATATGGAACTACATTGTAATTTCCTCAAAAAATGATGCAATAATTTGTAAATTGAAAGAAATGTATATCTTATGAAGTTCTAGAACAAACTTCCATTTACCTTATTATCTATGGAGTAAGTTAAACACTACCCAGTTTCCAAACCACTTTACTTACACTTGTATTAGATAATTTTAATGAACCTGGTATGTGTGACAGACCAGATGAATTCATTACATCGGTACGCTTCTTCATTCTGCAGGATGAATGATAATAAATACTAACTACTGACATAAATAGTGAATTCAGAGTGAGAGATGCATGCAAAATATTCAACTTCAGTAAAAATATTCACTATTTGGTTCCAAGAACACAAGATGACAAAGGCTGTACCCTTTTCCACATTTTGGATATCAGAATATGTATATGAAACTGCTTTAAATTTGTTCTAAATAACAGCATTATGATCTTACTGAAGCATCAGATATGAACAGATATGAAATGTTTCACAACTGCATTCTCATACGTTTTTTCCCTTCATACTTGATCCCAGATTCTTATAGAACTGTCTAATACAAGATGGATATGCTAGTCATATTCTAATATGGGAAACTTACAACTGTGGGTGGAGGAGAGTAGGGCTTGGCACGATTTGAACTGCTGGGACCAGACATCATGGCGGATGTTGTTCGTTTTTTCTGTTCCAACAAAAATTGATAAAACTGAAAATAATCTACATCTGCAAGGATACACATGCAAACTACATAAATAAGTTACATATAAGTTCTAATTAATATAATAGATATTCTCAAACAAAACAAAAGCTTAAAAATTTGAGCATAAATCAGGCCACTTAAAGAGAAATGCTAAGACACTACATAATGACTATGTGCTACAGATGAACTACATACTGAAAATTCACAGGTCAGTCAACTATATATATTCAATAGTCAATTCCCATTTATTTACAGTAACTGGCAGGCAAATAGTGAAGACATCCATCTCGCTTCTGCAACCATGTTTTCCCCATCCTTTTGTGACTTAAGATCTAAAAGTTTGTGATGATGGTTAAAGTCCATGAACATAATATTTTTACTTCTGTGACTTAATTCATGGATAGGAGGGCTGACAAGACACCTGGAGTTTAACATCTATCTATTAACTATTCCTGTTGATTCAACTTGGAGCACAGAGCATCCATGAAACGCTTCTTTTCACTTTTGTTTCTTAATCTAGACAGTCAGTAGGACTCCTTGGATTGGGGATCAGCCCGATGCAAGCCTACTACCTATATAGGACAACAAAAACACAGAATAAATGCAGACAAACATCAATGACTTGGGTGGGATTTGAACCCACAATCCCAGTGTTCGAGCAGGCGAAGACATTTCCTGCCTTAGACTGCACAGCCACTGTGATGGGCAGAGTCTGATATATGGAGTCCATAAGAGGATTCCAAATTCTTTCAGCAACCTAACAAGTAATGAGTCAAATAACAACAAAATGTCAAGCAAGGCCATTCATATGTACAATCACATGTGCACAGATAGTACAAACAAAAATAAAAGAAAAAGTATTTATAATTTATCTGTAAATTAAGGCATTAATTTTAGGTCTGCAATTTTAATATCACATATATAAGTACATGTGCAAGATATATTGTGTTTTATAACAATACTACCATCACCACTTGCAAAGTGTTGCACATAACATGTTATTTAAGCATAAANCCTCTGCTCTGAAGATGGAGGCGCTACGTTCCTCCGAAACGTCGGCCAAAACGAAGAATACACGGTGCCTAAACCCAGAAGACGACTTTCTTCATTTAATTTTGTGTTTAAATTTTTAAATTAGCTACTGAATATCACAATGCTAAGATTACTCTTAAAATAGATGTTAAATTCAAAGCGTACTGTACAATTTAAGATTGTCACAGTCAGGAATATGATGTACTGATCTTCTGAGATGTGATGCTGCATAATTTCAGTATAGCACCACATACCAGAAAACTCTAACCTTGAAAGTGTATTGGTTTTGTATTTATTTTGCCCCAAATGGACATTGTGAACATATGTTTAGTAGCTAATGATTGAAACTAACCTGTGAGTCTCACAAACCATGGGTTTCTTTAAGGCACTCACTGCTGTGCAGGTTTACATGTAAGTGAAAATCTATCCTCTAAGATTTGTGGTTTTACTGAGGAGGTATTATACCTTCTTAATCTTAATCCCTTGAAGACTTCTTTACATGACAACTGCCTACCCCTGAAGCTATATTTCAATGATAGCAGCCGTATACTACTTCATTAGTTACAGAAAAATATATAATTTTAGATTTTATTTGGCATATATAAATAAATAAAATGTATTCTTTGATCAAAAACAGACCAAAGAAGAAAATAAAATTGCCATCTGTTGACAACAGGATGAAATATTAACATAATCTAAGCACAAACTTAAAAATATCTTGAAAACATACTACAGCTGTGTGGACAGGCCGCCTGACCACACCTCAGAAATTATATTAGTTGACAATGGGTTAAAAATGAACACACTTGTCTTCAAATACAAACAGTGAAAGTCAATAAACCATACTACTTCTTCATTGCCACAATCACCATTCCTGCATTAAATTTAAATCACTTTTTATAAAACTACATGGTAATTCACTCAGAAGTAAGCCTATGATCTTCCATCATCCAGTATGCTTTTGTTTCAGAACAATTAAGGCAAAGATTGACATAAAGATCTATAGCCCATCTCTTTATACTCCCTGACAATTTCAGTATACACTACAACCATTCAATCAAGTAATGGGAACTAATGACTGAATGTTTTCAAATATCATGCGTTTTGTTCGGTAATATGAACAGGACTGTCAGTCTCAGACTCTGCAGCAATCTGTTTGGTACTGAATATGTTAAGAAGAAAGTCTGATTTCAGATGAAGTACGATGACTTTCTTTTGTTTTCCATTTAACCAATATATACAGAAACACAATATACAACTTATCACTCATCCACTGTTTTATCATATTTAAAGGACTTATTATGTTATTTTTCTATGGTTTTTTATACTATTAGTCATTTGATGTGATGTTTTTAATCTTATATATATTTTTTTATAAAAAACTGACTTGTCCAATTGTACATAATGTAACAGTTATGGATGTTAAATCAATCAATCAATCAATCAACTTATGCATAGTACTATCTTCTGGGAGGTAATGCCATGTAGTCTAGAAGAAGGCTACCAACATTTAAGATATCTGCTTGCCGCCAGCTTCTTGCTGGTTTCTTCTTTGGCTCACTCTTTGACCCTGAAGACTGAGGCATTACATTCCTCTGAAATATCAGTGAACTTCTACCGGACTACACAGCGTTATTTCCAGAGGACAGTGGTCTTCACAGCCACCAGTATGAGGATCACAAATCCAACAATGTAAAAATCATTCAAATAATGACAGTCATTCACCAGCAATTATGCACTAACAATAGTTAAAAAAGGTGAAAACTACATATTCTAGACAACTGACTCACAGATGGCAGTGAGGCTGTCAGCCTTATGTGCTGGCCACCATATACCTCCGGGAAGACTCCTAACAATTCATGCTCATTATAAATAACAATAGTTAATAATTCATAAATGTCTATAAATTGACAGATTAATGCTGGAACTCCTCAAACATTTTTTAAAAATGCCTTCCATAGTTGCACATTTACCATCTACATACCATGCATGGAATTTCAGTGAACTATAAGTAGCAGCAGACAGGTAAGGAACAGCTGATGGTGACTGCAATGTATGCCAAAATGGAACAGTTTAAATGTACAATAGGACTAAACTCCAAAAGCTAAAGTTAAGCACAGGAAATGGAATAGTTCAGGACAGGACAAAATAATAAAGTTTTACTGGGATTACTAGTACAAACAATATGATTACTGTTATTATCACCTCTTTTTCCTTGTGTTCTGCCTCTGACTTGGACAACGCCAGTGCCAGCTGCAACTCCTCCTCCTCTCTGAGTTCATCCTCTGACTTACGTGGGGGACTCTACCCAAGACACAGACAGATCCAAAATGCACACAGACATACAAACATAACATTAAGCATTTTACACACCACACATTCATATATACTCATATATATTTCAGCCCTCAGTCAACATTTTTAATATATATATTAACTATTATACAGTTATATGTATATCAAACATATCATTTGAAATATGAAGCTAATGAATATGTACAGATTTCAAGATTCAAAAACATCAAAGTGGCACTTCTGAGCCATTAGGTACTAAACTTATTTCTGCTTAAAGCTACTGATCTCATGGGAATTTTAGAGAGCTATATTTTTCTCAACTTTCTGTGGATAATGGAAGTGCAGTTGGTGGAAGGCAGTTCAAATGCTTTCACACAGAAACAGACTCACATCACTCTTAGCAAGTATGGAACAGAATTTGTAAAAGTGCATCTATTAGCTTAATCACAAATGTCCATAAATCTGCATGTAACAACTGAGAACTGCTAAAGAGATTTTCATGAAACTTGATACGTGGGAGTTTTTTTTATTGCTAGTGGGGTGGGACTAAGTCCCTTGTACCACGGCTACTTCTGGCCTATTGTACCAGCCCCAGATGATAGTTGAGGGTGATTGTGGAGCAACTGGTGGAATGAAGATTGGAAGGGGAAACCGAAGTACTCGGAGAAAACCTGCCCCAGCGCCACTTTGCCCACCACAAATCCCACTTGACCAGACCCGGGATCGAACCCGGGCTGCCGCGATGGGAAACCAGCGACTAACCACTTGAGCTATGGTGTGGCCTTACTTGGGAGTTTACTAAAATTTTATGACATATTCCAATTTTGATTAAAATCAGACACCACTTTACAATTTACATGATGATGTGCTTCCATACCCACACACATCTCTACTGTAACTCATCTCTAACTCAATATTTGTTGGAGCAAAACATCTGAACAAAATTTGTAGGAAAACATGAAACACACAAATTATGCCCAGCACACTTCTTTTTTGTAACTTTTACAGTTAGCAAGGTATGTTATGCTATTAATAAATCTGCTAATGTGTTTAATTGGTTGAAGCTCAAACTGATTAATTCATGGTTTATCTGATGATGCATTTTCTAGTGTCTAGTCAAGTAATATCAAATGGTAGGGAGATTTCTGAATGATAAATATGAATGAACATGAAGGAAGCAGCACAGTCTAAAGGCAATATTGTTGAATCTGCATAAAGAGACTCAGGCAAACTGTGAAAAACCTCAGCCAGGATTGTTGGCCTCTAGGCCTCCGTCAGAGTGTGCTAAGTATTTTGAAAAAAATTGTAAACTTTCTTTTTATGATCAAATGTATTATTTCCTTACTGTCTGTTTGTAGTTTAGATGATGTCCAGTCACTATTTATTAACAATATGAGAGAACATTTATCTATAAAGTTATCTACTTAAAAGAAAGCATTAATCAATACCAAAATTCTTACATTTTGTGTATGGAAAATTTACAGAAGATTCATTTTTACATCTTTGTGTGTTTTCCTTCTCTCAACTCAGATGATGTTACATTAAACATCACAATATTTAAATCAGACATATTATACAAACAAGTTATAAAACATGTGCATAATATATGAATTCTGACAGGCTCGCTGTTATGGCCTCAAGGATTTCAACTCAGTGACCAACTCCTTTATATTCTCTTATGAATGGAATAAAACAGGGAGGGCACAATTTTCTCAGTGTCAGTCCAATGATTCTTGAGTTATAAGATGATAAAGCATAAATATCCATCTTACATACTTATTTTGAAATTTGTAAAATTTATGGAAAAATGTGTAAGAGTATTATACATGAAAAGTTAATTTCATTTATCTCTGCAACTTCTCTTTGAATAATTTCTTGCTCCTACAAATATGCAGTTCAGTTATTCTTGAGATGTGAGAAAAAAACACAAAATTCTTCACGTAAAGTGTCCTGCACTGTTGTCCAATTTTAACAAAAACTGGAATGTTACAACAAAAGCTAGTAAATTTCCCCTGTAATAAATTTAACAAAATATCTGGTGAGCAGTTCCTGAGTCATGCAGACAGACACATTTTCGCAACTTCTCATTACAAACTCTCCAAAAAAATGCATCCATTAAAATAAAGTGTTATTTTACTCACAGATATGATGACTAATATTTTAATGCTTTGCTGGTAAGTCTTTACTGTCTGCTCTTTCCCATTTTACTTGTTTAACTGAGAATATTTCATCACTATAAAGTTACCTTACCCTTTTGCTTATAACTGTTTATAGCAGTCATGGGAATACATATACAAAATCACCTGCTTCATAATAAAACAATCTTTTAAACCAAAGAGGTTGGAATCTTCCATATAATTTGTATCACCAACACATGCAGTACAACAAAAATTCTGGTGTTACTGCATAATAATTCAAGATATTTATTAACCTCAAATTCTTATGTAACAGATTACCAACTTTTGTAAACATTATATGAGGGTTAAGTCAATAAGTAAGTTACAAATGGATATAGAACTTAAACAAATATGAGTACTGATTTGAAAAATGCTTTTATTTCTCAACATAATCTCCCTGTACACTGAGGTATTTGTTCCATTGTTTCACAAGCCCCTGAAAACTGGCAGCATAAAATTCTTTGCGCTGCTGTCGGAACCAGGCATGTTCACACGGCATGGCCTGGATTTTTGTTGTTTCAGATGGACTTCCATAAAAACCAACAATATATCTTTGCTATGTTATTATGAAAGCCAGAGACTCAATATTTTGTTCTAAAAAATCTGCCATTTTACTCTATCCCAAGGATTCCAGTCCACATATTTGAAACATATTTCTTCACAATCAGTTTTAATATTATCCTCCCATCTATTCCCACATGTTCAATGTGCCTCTTCCTTTGAAATTTTACAACCAAATGTTCTCTGCAGTTCTCATTTCATTTACGATTTTCATGAATTAAAATCTACAGATGAAATTCAATGTTTCATGTGTCAAGCAAGTCCTGTATCACTAGGAAGTCTAAGAAATCAAATCCAAAACATTCTGTGTTTCATTTTTATGGGGAAACTATATGTTAGACATAGTACAGTGAAATAAAATACTGCTCACTATTCATAATCTACTTCATGAATTATATTCATGCACTGTGTCACTGACAATTCTTTGCTACAGCAACTCAAAACTACACAATTTCAAGACCTTTCATCTCAGCATTACATTTAAATTATTTACATACACACACACACACAAATATATATGGATATGGTATAACAAGGAGAAAACAAGGTATGTAATTTATAAAACCAACTGATTAAAAATTATTTCATATTAAATAAACAAACAGTGTATACTAAATGTAATTGTAGTTAGGAGATGAAAAATTATGACTGTAGAAATTCCTTGGAGCCATATGTTTCTCTAGAACCTAATATATATTCAGCTGGTCAAGAAATTCTCAACTATTTACTCAAAGGTTTATTGCCACGCTTACAAGAACCTGCTACTGGTCCCTATTCTGAAACACATGAATCCAGTCCACATCATAAAATCCTATTTCTACAAGAACCATTCTAATTGTATTCTCCCATTTATATGTATGCCTCCCAAACAGTATCTTCATTCCAGGTTTTTAGAGTCAGAATTCTGTATGCATTTGTCATATCTCCAATGCATGTACACACCTCACCCGTCTTATACTCCTTCATTTGATCACCCTTAATATTTCAAGATGAGCACAAATTATGAATCTCCTCATTATGCAACATTCTCCACTCTTCTGTTACTTCTTTTCCCTTAGTTCAAAAAATATTCTCCTCAGCACCTTGTTCTCAAACACCTTCAATCCACATTCTTCCCCCAGAAAAAAAGACCAAGTTTCACATACATACTAAACAGATAAAATTGGATTTGAGGTTCTCATATTGTGTGACTATGAACAGTACTACATTCTGGTTTGTAATGCTATGTAATCCAACATAAATTCAAAAAAGTTCCTCAAAATAGTTGAACTTCTACTGAACTACATGGCATTACAACCAACAAGATTTTACTCTTCAATTGGGAAAACTGTCAAAACAAAATATTCTGAAATGAGTGGAAGCACGAATTCTCCAGATTTCATCTCAGTTTCATGGCAGAAATTTTCATTTGCTGCTGTCATTCTGGGAGATCACAAATATGCATGATATTATTTTGTCATGCCAATGCCATCCAAATCTAACAAAAGTTTCCTATCCATCAACATACTGCAACAAAAATTATTACACAGGGATTCCTGGTAGTTTGAACAGTTTCTTAATGATTACAAATGTCAACTACTTTGGATCACAGTTCATAAGCAGATTCAAATGTGTCAAAGTAATAAGCAGGATTTGAGATTCCCACAGCAGTGGTTATGAGGAGTTCTACCTTCTGGGATATAACACCAGTAGTCTGCTCAAAGTCAAGTGAAGTTTAAGAAAAACATCTTCAGATAATATAAGCCAAGCAAGAAACCAGCATGGCTTGCCACTTGCTTTCATGCTGGCTTCTTGCTGAGCTTACTCTTTCATCCTGAAGATGGAGCTGACATCTTCCTCCAGAACATCAGTTGACTTTCAATGGAATACATGCCATCACATCTCAGAAGAGAGAACTCTACCAAAGTAATATTTTTCATATTTTGATCTTTCTTTATACTGTTTTTGGGTTGTAATGCACAAAAATGAACAGGAACTGCTACACAACATGAGCAAAAGAACATCATACCTGGCTTTGCTGTGCAAGTGAGCTAGACACATACTCAGCTGGTAACTCTCCATCCGTTTTCTGTGTTGCTGGTGTTGCCCTGAAAGTTGGTAAAATAGTTTTAACTGAGAGACTTATTAAAAATACAAGCTCTCAATAAAATTAAGTACATTAAAAAATAAATTATGGCAATAAGTTATGCTTGTAACAAAAGTCTACTTGCACTAACCAGTAATTTTAAAGTATTCATAAAACTCGTTTCACCTTCCCTCAAAGATAAGTAATATTTTACTAACATTTTATGCATTTCATGCATCAACAGCAGTAACTCCCATACTTTATTTTGGTAACATTTACACTCCAGCTTATAAACGAATGCAATGGATAATTTTGCAATTCTTCTAAATTGTATCTTTGCATTCTTGTTCAATTTTGCTTTGCTGTCAGCTTCCATGAAAACCAAACAAGAATTCTTTAAGAGCTAGAGGAAGGGGAGAGGAAAAAAGAAAAGATGTACAAGCTGCTGAATATGTTTCATGTGTGTAAAAAAAAAGATGTGATTATTGAAGAAAGCAGTCTTCTGGAATGTGGCACCGTGTAGTTTTGGTGTTAACCGACGTTTCGGGGGAACGTATCACCTCCATCTTCAGGGTAGAAAATTACCACCATGAAAACCTAAATCTTACATACGCATGAATAACTGTAAAGAAATATATGTCACTGGAGAAATGCGGACAGTGAAACAAATTCTTCACCTAACACAGATTTGCATGCCATTTAAAGTAAGAATCTTTGGGTATCAAAGAAGGTTCAGAATTCTCTTATCAGCAAAGAAACTATCAGTATCTTAAGAACTCTGTCCTACGGAGTTAATCGGTTAGTGATTATGATAGGGTGATAATGTATGATGAAATATTCACAAACATGAATTCTCTTAGTGGGAATCAAATTAGGTCCTTAGATATCAGACAGCCAACATTAACACACTTGTTTATATATTTTTAGCCACAGGATATGCTGCATATGCAATTCTCTTGCCTTCAGAGAAACTCTAGGATGCCTTTGCCACAAGCCTTAGATCTACATCATAAAATAATTACAGTACGCACACACTTATTACCAACTTACTTGTTGAAGGCCTCAAAACAAGCTTCACATACCCGCACCTCTTTCTCAATACCAAATTTGGGCAGTGTGGACGTCTTGGAGGAGCACTGCGCACAGAAAACCTGGCCACATGCTCGACAGTGATGCTGCAACAGAAAAAGGAATACTGCAGTTTACTGTGACTTTTCCTATGAAGCTCGTACATAGAGTTGCTGACTAAAAGATGATAGGAATTTATACGCTAGCCAAAGATAGCAGTACAGCAAAATTTCTCAGCTCTTATTACAACTTCAATTAATTTTGGTAATCCAAAACCATACAGCTGAGGTAAAGTTGTTCCTGTGCTTAACTAATTAAGCACCACACCATAGAGACATATGAGGGAGTGGGTGTATAGGTCCACATTTTCTTCACCTCAGCAATAGATGGAGATGAGTGAACAGCTTCACACCCAGGCAGCTTTACCCCCAGGGAAAGAGACCCTGGTACCCATTGGATAGGAGGTTGGGTGAGGCCCAGATCAAGTCTGGATGACGTGGAAGAAAGAAAATTCTTGACCCTACCATGACTTGAACTCCAACTCCTCAGTCATCCAGCCCATAGCTAGACACTATACCAACTACGCTTTCCCAAATCCAAAACCATTACAGTACATACATAAGTATGCCCTAGACACTTAAGTATGTTTCTCAAAAGGATTTATTAACTCTTTATGTTTCTTAAAACTATCTTCAACCCATAAGAACTTCAATCTTGACACAAAGAGGCTACATTTCAACCTATGCAAACAACCCCCGCACACATACACAAGAGAACTCTATGGGGAGTTTCACAACACTTCCTTTTGGGCAGCTGAAGTCCTATTAAACCAGCTGGCTATGATCTTACCTTACGTTGCATCATGCCAAACTGCACTCTACAACGGTGACAAACATCTCCATCAGCCCACTCTGGTGCTGTGTCTGCAGAGAACATTGCATCACTCTCCTTTAGTGCTGGAAACTTACAGCCTTCAGTCTTCATGATGTTAACAGTGTCCTACAGGAAGGAATATATTGTAACATTGCTGCAGAGCCCATGTGCACATTTGTGAACTCACTGAAAATACTTCAGTAACTGATGGTTCATTTAATGATGATTTATCAGCTGCACACATGATGTAGTATTAAATGACAGAATGATTATAATCTTAAATGGAAAAAGATATGGAAATGATTACTTACTTACTCATTGAGCTGAGCTCTTCTGGAGGAGCCACAAATTCTGCAGCTACTCAAAAAAATCCCAGCATTTTATGGAACCCGAAGGTTCATTACCGTGTTCAAAAAAGCCCTCCACTGGTCCTTATCATGAGCCAGATCAATCCAATCAATACCATCCCATCCTAAATATCTAAGATACATTTTAATATTGTCCACCCACCTACGCCTTGGTCTTCCCAGGCGTCTCTTTCCTTCTGGCTTTATCACCAATATCCTATAAGCATTCCTCGTTTCCCCCATTCGTGCTATGTGCCCTGCCCACCTCATCCTCCTTGACTTCATCATTCTAATTGCACTTTGAGAAGAGTACAAGTTATGAAGCTCCTCATTATGCAGTTTTCTCCAACCTCCTGTCACTTCATCTCTCTTTGGTCCAAATATTCTCCTCAACACCCTGTTCTCAAACACCCTCAGTCTATGTTCCTCCCTTCATGTCAGAGACCACGTTTCACACCCATACAGAACCACAGGCAAAATTATAGTTTTGCATATCCTAATTTTTATGTTTTTGGACAGTAGACGAGAGGACAAAAAGTTCTGGACTGAATGGTAGCAAGCATTACCCGAGTTCAATCTCCTCTTAATTTCCTCCTGAATCAGGTTTCGATCTGTTATCACTGTTCCCAAATATCTGAACTGCGCCAGATTTTCAAAACATCTGTTTCCTATCTTTATGTCATGATTTTGCCCTGCATTTTGGTGACGAGACAGTAACATATACTTAGTTTTCTCTGTGTTTACTTCTAGACCAACCTCTTTACTTGCATCAATTAAAGTTTGTGTGTTTTTCTTTATGGTATCTACATTATCACCCAGTAGATTCACATCATCGGCGTAGACCAACAGCTGATGTGTCCCGTTTAATTTCAGTCCCACCTGGTTTCCCTGGACCTTCCTAATTGCATATTCTAAGGCAAAGTTGAAAAGGAGTGGCGATAAAGCATCTCCTTGTTTTAGACCATTCTGGATAGGAAATTTATCAGACAAATGTTTACCTACACGGTCTTTACTATACGTTTCGTTTAAACACATTTTAATCAACCTAACTAGTTTCATGGGTATCCCAAATTCTATCAGAATATTGTACAATACTTCCCTCCTAACTGAATCATAGGCTTTCTTGAAGTCTATGAATAGCTGATGTACTGTCTCATCGTACTCCAATTTTTTCTCCAATATCTGACGAATGCAAAAGATCTGATCTGTAGTTGATCTGTTACGTCGAAACCCACACTGATGATCCCCAATAATTTCATCTATATATGGACTTAACCTTGAAAGAAGAATATTGGACAAAATTTTATATGAAGTTGATAGCAGTGATATCCCCCGATAATTACTACAGTCAGTTTTATCACCCTTCTTGTGAACTGGTACAATAATAGACTCCTTCCACTGATCAGGCAATTTTTCCTTATGCCAAATAGAAGTAATTAGATTGTGGATCTTAGAACGTAATATTTCGCCTCCTGCTTGAATAAGTTCTGCCGGAATTTGATCACTACCTGGCGATTTATACCGTTTCAATTTTGCAATAGCACTTTCAACCTCAAAAGGGCTAGGATCAGGTATTAACGGCTCAGCTGTATGGATTTCTGTCTGCCTAACAGCACTGACCCTATGTACATTCAATAACTGAGAGAAGTAGTTCCTCCACCTATTCAAAATGTTGTGGGAATCTGCAAGCAGATCACCATTCTCATCCTTCACTAAGTTACTGCTAGGCTGGTAACCCCTCTTAAAGTCATTTATTCCTCTATACAGGTCTCTAATGTTCTTGTTCTTACTGTTCATTGCAAGCTCATCAATTTTGTCTTTCAGATATTCCCTCTTTTTGTTCCTGAAATGCCTGCTGGTTTCACGTCTTATATTGTTCAGATTATCCCCATTTAACTCGCTTGGATCCTGTAACCATTGCAATTTGGCCTGCTTTCTTTGATCTAATAATTATGAGCATCCTTCATCGAGCCATGGCTTATGCTTCTTCGGTTCATAATAACCTAGACTCTCTTTGGCAGACATTTTTATATTCTCTCTAATAGTTTCCCAAGCTTTATTAACATCCACCTCAGTGTCCAAGTTTTCCAAAGCCGCAAACCTATTTGAGATTTCAACACGATACTGCTCTTTACCCTCTACCTCATTTAATTTCTTGAGATTGAACCTCTCCATATGAACTCTGTGTGTTGTTTGTTTGCTCACTGCCAGTCTTTCCCTAACCTTTGCCACCACCAGGTAGTGGTCAGTATCACAATCTGCTGCCCTGAATAATCGGACATCAAGAATACTTGAGTGCCGTCTCCAATCTATCAAAATATGGTCTATTTGATTGTGTATCTTCCCATCAGGAGATGTCCAAGTAAATTTATGGATGTTATGATGAGGGAACATTGTACTTATGACAGTAAGATTTTTTTGATATGGCAAAGTTTTCTACTCTAACTCCATTATCATTACTAATTTCATGCAAACTCTCATTCCCAATCGTTGGTTTGAAAATGTCTTCCCTCCCTACTTTGGCATTGAAATTTCCAAACAAAATTTTCATAGGGTACTTCGGGAATTTATCAAATACATGTTATAGTTCTTCATAGAATCTGTCCTTTATGTCATCAAGTTTAGTTTCTTCTGTTGGGGCGTGAACATTCTTAACAATGATATCACAACAGCAACCGTTCAGTATTATATATGATATCCTATCACTAATGAACTCTACCCTCTTAACTGCTGATACGACTCTCTTATGTATGAAAAAGCCTGTACCTAATTCATGATTTTCATTCCGCTTTCCACAGAAAATGTATAGTCTCCTGCTGGTGCAGTGCCACTTCCATCCCATCTGACCTCCTGTACTCCCGCTAAATCTAATTTATATTTTAAAATTCCATCTCAGTACTTTACAGAAGACACTGAGGAACACCACAAACACCTCAATCATGAGCCCTGATCTCTAGGCCAAGATCTGTGCAACATTAAAGCTGGCCAACAGGAGTGCTAACAACTATATTATGACATTATGCTGATTTATTATTATGAATTGAAAACTATTTGATAGTGCAATCAATTTCTACTTTCCATCCAGGAGACATTCACTTAAGCTCAGTCGATTTTTCCCATTTGCACAGATTATCAGAGTAAACAACAAAGGAAGACAATTTCAACTAATATATGCACTGTAAATTTATTCAAAACAGAGATACTTTTGGGATGAAAAACAGTAAGAGAAAATCCTGAAAAAAAGATTACGATGAAAAATTGTTACAGATGATTTTAAGACTGAATAATGAACTCAACTCTGTGGCTTGAGTATGGAAATGAACTATACTGACTGATAGACCACCACTTGTCAGCAAAGTTAGTGCCAACTTTAGTGGATAGAGGGTGCAACGAGTCCCCACAGCTGTTAATTTTGGTTTTCTAGACTGGAGCCACTAAATCCTTGAAATAGTCACTCAATTATCATAACGAGGCTGAGTGGAAGCTATTCCAGACCCACTACTTCTCAGAAAAGCTGGTAGCACTGGGAATCAAACCCAGACCTCTGGATCTGTAGCAAAGAACTCTGACCACTACACCATAGAGGTAGTCACTATACTATGACATTATGATGATTTATTATTATGAATTGAAAACTATTTGATAGCGCAATCAATTTCTACTTTCCATCCATGAGACATTCATTTAAGCTCAGTTGATTTTTCCCCATTTGTATAGATTATATGAGTAAGCAACAAAGAATAAAGGAAGACAATTCCAAATAATACATGCTCTGTAAATTTAGCCCAAACAGAGATATTTTTGAGATGAAAAACAGTAAGAGAAAATCCTACAAAAATATTTCAATGAAAAATTATTAGAGGTGATTTTAAGACTGAATAATCAACTTGAAACATGAAAATGGTAGTGGTTAAGTTAAGGACAAACAAGAAGTTTTGGTAAGAACTAATCACCTGATTTCATTTGAAATGACATGGACTACGCAGAAAACGTCACTCCCACCAATACTTTGTTGCCACAGGAACATGTGCACCAAGCCACTGTCTAGCAACAATAGGGGGGTGTACACACAGATGTAACAACATGCTATCCTACCTGGACCGCTCTGTATTTGGGACTGTTGCGGAAAGCATAAGCCCATGCCTGAATCAGCTCGAGCACCTTGTTTTTGACATCATCATGGGAGGTTGATTTAACAAGGTCACGCAACTGCTCCATATACTGTTTTGTCCCAATTTCATCATGTATCGGATTCCCACAGTGCTTGACACACGATTCCAGCACCTGTAAGAATTATCAGCAACTGGTATAGGAAACTGTATCACAATATATAACTGATGAAAACTTGTTTATATTGTTTGAACCTTCCTTATCTTTCTATAGAAGCAGAGAGGCTTATGATATCATTTGTAAAAGTGAGTGCTCTGTCCCCCTTAAAAAACTTCTACATCAAAACCCACCCCCCAGGGGTTATCACCTTGTCATGGCTGTGAGGTCCAGTACCCAGCGACTCAGACAGATATGACAGCGAATGCTGTGCTAGCTGCTTAATGGTCAGAGAAGAGGGGAAGTGAAGAATAACCCACAACAAGAAGAAGAGTCTTGTAAGTCCTGAAACAGAGCTCATCTAGGAGAGGACAAATCTGACAAAAAAAATCAGGTTCTCCATGATCGGGGATCGGGGTTGAACACTTGGATGGTAGCCGAGCCTTAGAAAACGGACATACACAGATTTTTTAAAGAAGAGAAGCTGCAGTGATCACAATAGAAATATCACATGCTACGAATGGAAAATGGATTCCAATGAAAATTCTAGCATATGACCCAAAAAGAAAATGAAACATAAGAAGCCCATAGTTAAGATAAAGGCACCAGCATATGCTTCAAGAGGATGGAACAGACCATGTATGACCCCCATAAAGATGATGATGAACTGATAGACTTTATGAAACTTTGTACGGATGTCACACTAACAAAGGCTACTCCTTGATCATATTTTTAGTTCCCTGCCACTGACAATACAAGTATGGCGGCCAACCAAGCTTCAGACATGGGAGAATGACTAGCATTATTCAGCGTAGTGTCCGAAATTTTAGGAAGCAAAACAAAACAAAGAAAAACTCCGTGATTTTAGTCCACAAGCGAACGATACGAACCAAGTGACCGCCACTTGTCGGCGAAGTTTAGTGCCAACTTTTGCGGATAGAGGATGTCGCGTGATCAGCGCAATGAATCCCCATGGTCATTAATCTCGGTTTTCTAGACTTCATCTTAAAATAATATGCAACATTCATTATGACCAGTGCAGAATACAGCTTAATACAATAATGACTCTTTCAAGTCTGTGTTTAGCTTCTCATTTGAGGGAAACAACTAAGAAATCACTGTGGCTGGGAATGTCATTAAGCAAAACAACATGTGTCACAAAATGCGTTACTGTGTGATGCACTTAAATGCTTTCAAAGCTGTCATAAAACTACAGAAAGTACAATGAACATATTTTCCAGTAGTGAACTGACAATCATTCAATACCTACAGTACAGTATATTTACTTTGGATGTGACTGCCTGTGCTACAGCTGATGTAACTGCAGCAACAGTGAGGCAATTAATTTTAATTTGAAACTTTCTGCAACAAATCATGTTCAGAAAAAGCACATGACCAGTATCACTTTTATTGCATTCTTCAAATTAAAACATTTCTGTACTTTCTTCTGGGTTATGACACAATGTTCCTCCAAAGCACTGATATTCACCTATTAACTACATGATGTTATAAAATAAAAGACCACAACATGAATCTCTCTACTTGTTATAAGACATGTATCATGTGCATATATAATTAATTCTTACCACATGAATTTAAAGTCAAATAATAGCTATAATAAATTATAAGAGCAATGCTGAAATAAAATACAGACACAAAATTTTATCACTACTTTAAGCATTAAAATAATCCCCTAACAGTTATAAATGAAAGCCACACTCAAAGATAGGTATATCAGTTGTACAGAATGTCTCCATAATCCATTCATGTTTCATCATAAAACAGTATAGTGTAGAATATTCCTATTTAAAGAAAAGTCTTCATCTTACCTGCAATCCAAACATGGCAATGTGTGGATTTGCATTGTATAGCTTTTTCTTGATTGCAGCCAGAGCATATTTAGGTCTGAAAATTAAGTAATAAAGACATATTACACACTTTCTTAACTACCTTCTTAGCGGTACTGACCAGCTGTACTGGTTGTCCAGTGACCAAAGATACACTTACTGAACGTCACCCTGTCGTATAAGATCACAAATTTGCAGGATTGCAGGCCAGTCAGGTTCCAAACGTAGGTTACTTGTTGCTTTATCTGTAAACCAATAACACACCTGCTTAATTTTACAAATGTACGTAGAAATGTAAAAGCATGAATTATAATGGTACACTAAACACTGATGCTGCAATACTGAAATCATTACTTTTAACTTTCCAATCACATTACGAATTACGATACGATGGTTCTTATTACATATTTGTGAGAAATCACTACTGACAAACACTCTATGCAATCCAAATGATTTATCATAATTACTTTATTCCCAAATTCCACCACGTATCAGGTATCAATACAGTCATTAAATATTACCAGTTAAGACGACAGACGCAGAAAACGACTTACCCAAAAGTTTATCAAAATTAGACGTTGTAGACCGAAACATTCTTACACAATGTCGGTATCTTCTGCGTTTTATACAACTCACAATTAACAAACTCCTGACGCTCCTGACAACGACTAATAAGAGATCATATGTTACATGGACATACGTCATGCACCAGTGGTAAATTTTTCCAGCTGTACTGTACAGGTAGCGCAACCTAGGAACATCTGTGTTCCTTCTAGAAATTTTCATTTTAATTTATTTTGAAATGTTGCTTCTGTTTCAAATATAGTAAACATTTCAGGCAGTAACTATTAATATAACATTAGAAAAGAAGGGTATATTTAATGCACTTATTTATTTGTGAACCACTACTCATTCCTGTGGGGAAGTTCTTCTCATTGGCTACACTGTATTTTCGCGACCATCAGTTTCAGGCCATCAAACCAGCATCCGTAGAGCTTTCGGAATTTTCTGTACAACTGTCATAAAACGAAGTGATTATTGCTTAAAGACTAACGAAAGTAGTTGTTATCGAATTTATTACGTGTATTTTAGGAAGGAAGTTTTCAATACTTTTGATTTCAGCAAGTTTACAGAACGAAAGGAAAACAATGTGTATTAATAGTTTCGGTATTACTTTATGCTTGTTTCAAGATAAGATGGATAAGTAATCGAGGAGAAACATTTAACGGGTTTCAAATAGGTTGAAACAAAGTTGACACGATAAGCAAGGAACATATTGCATGGCGCCTATGTTCTTGGCGGTGGGGAAAGTTGCGGTGGGAAACTGTAACCGCATTGTCACGCTAAAGGTTTCAATGAAAAGTGACCCGCGGCGGGTATTTCGAGTAGCCAGTTCGTCGCATGAGCAGGAGTCTATCGTTCCCTCTCATTCTAGTTCGCAGTATCGGCTCGACCAGCAGCCGTACAAGTGCTGTAGAGATGCATGTGAAACCTGAAGATGACAAGACGGCAATAAATTGTTCGTTAGCCACTAACATTCGTGTGTATATCAAATGATGAGTTGGCATTCGAACAGCAGCCAGTAGCATATATTCTTTCAAGTTTACACCTATAAAATTGTGAGGAAAGGAAATATTCCAGTGCTAAATTGACAGCTGCATTTGTTTCTCTTGTGTATTGGAATTATATAAGCCGGATCCACTAGGTAACAGTACCTTGAAGGAAACTTAGTGAAACACTGCAAGCAATTTAAAGTGATTTGTCATTGTACAACATGAGTGTCTGCAATTTTCAACAGGCAGTTGAGTGGCTTTTGAGATTTTGTGCGTGAGACGATGTTAATTAATCCAGGTCCTCTGCTATGCAGACTTGGGGGAAGGCCTCCCACGTTGACACATCGGCAACCCTGACAGCAACTTGTTATCTACATCGGTAGGATGGAATGTATGTAATGCTTTAATTACTCTATAAACATCTATCTTTCAACCGTGAGAAGCTGGACTTGGATATTGAATTAAGTGCATATGCTTTTATGACAGCGAATTTAGAAGACTTCTCAAATGGTTCTTGTTCATACTATCGTTCTCCATTATGTTCAAATAATTGCCAAGTGTGGGCAGTAATACATACAGCGAGATTTTAACGTCTGTTAACCACCTGCATATTAAGAGTGTAACATTACAGTTAAATTGTGCTCTGTACTGTGTCTCGCATGTCATACAGACGCATCGTTTCTTAAAAAAAATAACAATTTTAACACTAGAAAGGAACCTGCTTGTTTTGACAGGTTGATACTCTACAGACATCAAAATATTTTCTTCCTGTGGTATTTATAATTCAGGTGAAATGTCAGAAGCGAGAGATAAATGCAGAAGGGAGGTTCCTTCGAAATCAGATTTTCATTGGGACTAAAATAATTAAAATTGTGTAAGATTGAAAACCGGAGGGAATGGGGCCACAGATAGCATATTTTGTAATTTGTATTAAAATTTATTTAAATTTGAATCTTTTATTCTAAACCACCTTCAACTGATCAACATATGTTTAGTAATGAAATTAAAAAACCGTTTCATCTAATTTTGTGATTATGTGTGTGTCTAACGGGAAAGAAAGACAAAGAATGATTTATTTTTCATGTTTCTTAAATGTAATATCCGCATCACGTGACCAGTCTAACAACGTGACTCTGTAAGTAATTAAAACCGATTTAGTGGTGTAATCATAACTACATTACTGTTCAGAGCCACGAGTCAAGAGTGTTAGAATAGATAGTATAAAAGGTGTCGTAACGAGCCTCACAACGGGCGCCACAAATCTGTCACAGCCACCGTCGCATTTGGATCAACACAGCCCGCTGGCCGCCTGCAAAGTTGATCATCAAAAGCTAGACGGCAGCAGTAAAGAAGTGCGGGGTTTCACCAACATGCGCCTAGGCGGAGGAACTGTACAGAATACTGCAGCATCATCCTCCCCTAGACACAGTCTTTCCCATCATAACATCCATCAGATCGAGGAAGACGAAGATACAAAGGCAGTGATGCCTGGAGACGCGACCAGTGCCTTATCGGCGCCCTGGGAACACTTATTGAGTAGCACCATATCACCGGCAGCTGCTGTGGCAGTTAAGATGGCCATCAGCGAAGATGAACCGGAGGACCAACAGCAGCCTTCATCCTCTTCCAGGAGAAGAGTTGGTTCCGCTACCGAGAACGGGGGTCTGCTAGGCACCATCCATAGACACCTACCGGCACTCTCAAGGCTTTCACTGGGAGCAGCGGCAGCAGCAGCGAAGACAAAAGGCGACCAAGGAGCGCCACTGTTCAGGTTAGTTTACAGCAGAACACATAGACCAGATTTTTGCATGAATTATTGTTGTTGTTTCTTTAATAAGAGTTAGTTTTCTTGATGTAAACGAGACCGAAGTTAAACATTGTAATTAATTCTAGAAAACGGCGACAAAGGATCTTTACGAAGCTTCAGGAATTGCTGTATTTCATGCCTGCAATTGAGGTGTATAAATCCAGCATTGCTAATCTCAATTCTAGCAGGAGGAGAAAAGTGAATTTCTCTTAAAGTGTTAGAAGTAGTAAGCGGATAATATTTGTCATGTCTGATTGCGCTGAAACTGTTATTTTCACTTCTGTTCGTGATTATTTTTGGATTCTCTTGAACCGTCGATATTCTATAACACTGAATAATGCTGGTTGCAATATAGGGGAATGCGAAACAGCAGAGTATAAAGGGAAAGTTGGGAAAGCTGAATGCGAATGAGGTCAAAGTATATTTTAAGATCCTATTCCAGAATTTTCGGGTATTGGTAGGATTTTTTTTTTTTTCAGTTTAGCGTTTCCAGAATCTTAACGATTGTGCCTTTGAAAAATAACAATTTAGGAAGAAGCTGAAGTCTGATGGGAATGGCCGTCACATGTAAGGATTTTACGGTCTTGGTCCGCTTGTATACGGGTTCCGTAAATTTGAATCCCTCAATGAAGTTTCGCTTTGTATGCGTGTTGTTTGTGTTATCCTGAAGATGGTGCCAGCAGGTTTCTCCGAATTATATATACCAAATACACACGGCGACGCATTATCAAGGACCGTAATTTTGATACTGCCATATCTCAAATGTCACTTAAATCTAACTAACTAACTCGATGGAGCTGAGCCCTTCTTGAGAAGCCGATATTCGCTCAGATACTCAAGAATCTTCCAACATTTTATGGAACCAAAATGTTCATTACCTTGTTCAGAAGTGCCCATCATTGGTCTCTATCCCGAGCCAGATCAATCCAGTCCACACGGCCCCATTTTCTGTAAGATACATTTTAATATTATCCTCCCATGTACATCTCGGTCTTCCTATATTCATTCCTCATCTTCCCCATGCGTGCTTATGTTAATATGATTGCAAAAGTAACCAGAGTAGAGACTGTTATGTGGCTAAATAATATAAGTTACAGTTTCGTAATAATTCTTATGTTAATACAGAATCGTGACATACCTTATACAAATGTTTACACATTTAAAGGAGTTGGATGTACATCGATATGTCCACAGTTTTGTAACAGTTCATATGCAGGAAGAGTTGACAAAGGTGACGACGGATGACGACGCCAATAAAATAGTTTTGTACGGGGCTCAACACATCAGCTTTGATACACAACATCCTTACATATTACATGTGAGGTCTACCGCAACGACTCGATGTTAACTCAGGCGTTTCCTTACACTTACATTACCCCTGTCTGTCTATATCTCCTACTTTATTCAAACGCTTGTTTGTGACATATCTATACCGAGGGCTCTTTCTCCGGGGCGTGCAGCTGACCACTCACCTCCATCTAGTGCCCAGGTCAAGAAAATGTGGATCTCTATATCCACTCCCCCAAACGCACAGGGACAACTTTACCTTTATCTGCCCTGGACTTGCTTAAATAGTTCTAGCGTATTTTACCTAATAAAGATTTTTTTTATTGCTAGTGGGGTGGGACTAAGTCCCTTGTACTGCGGCCACTTCTGGCCGATTGTACCAGCTCCACATGATAAGTGAGGGTGATTGTGGAGCAATTGGTGGAATGAAGATTGGCAGGGGAAACCGAAGTACTCGGAGAAAACCTGCCCCAGGGCCACTTTGTCCACCACAAATCCCACTTGACCAGACCCGGGATCGAACCCGGGCCGCCGCGGTGGGAAGCCAGCGACTAACCGCTTGAGCTATAGCGCGGCCCCAAGTTAATAAAGAAAGAAATGCTTATGCCACTGTCGTGTCTGTTCATATACCAGAAGGACAGAAGAAGATAGAAATGGTAAGAAAGCAAAAGGGAAGAAATACAGGAAGAAATACAAGACGAAAGAAGGGGGAATGAAGGGGAAAGCAAAGGGGGAATAATGGTAAGAAGAGAAAAGAAGACAGGGGAGGAGGAAAAAAAGGAAGTAAAGAAAAAGAAAGAAAGACGAACAGAAGAGACAAAGAAACAAAGAACTTTCGCATGGTCTGCTAACCAGTCGAGCTAACACAGAGTCAGCAAGGAAGGAATCAACTACCAGTTCGTTATGCTTGTATATTGTTATATTTATCTTCCGGGTAATTCATTTTATGTCTGGGCGATTATTTTCGTGCTTTTATTTTTGCCCCAGGTTGAAAACTCTGGCTGTTTAAAACTATGTACCACACTCACAAGGGGGATCCAGAATAACGTAGACGGTATAGCGACTGGCTACGGGCTGGACGTCCGAGGGGTCGGAGGTCGAGTCCTCTTTGCATCGTCTAAACTGACTCTGGGGTCCACCCGACCTCCTATCCCATGGCTACCGTGACTATTTCGCCGGGGATTAAAGCGGCTCGGGCGTGAAGCTGACCACGCACCTCCAACTAGTGCCGATGTCAAGAATACGTGGATCTATACATCCACTCGCCATACGTCTTCATGGCTTAGTGCTTAATTAATTAAGCACAGGGACAACTTTACTTTTCAACATATTCACAAGGCACGAATTAAAACAGAATAACTTGTACTCTTCTCCAAGTATAACTAGAATGATCACGTCAAGGAGGATTAGGTGGGCAGGGAATGTAGCACGAATGGGGAGACGAGGGATGCATATAGGATATTGGTGGGAAATCCAGAAGGAAAGAGACCAATAGGAAGACAAAGGCGTAGGTGGGTGAACAATATTAAGATGGATCTTAGAGAGATAGGATGGGATGGTATGGATTGGATTTTTCTGGCTTACGATAGGGACCAGTGGAGAGCTCTTGTGAACATGGTAATGAACCTTCGGGTTCCATAAAATACTGGGAGGCAATTGGAAACGTGATGGGAGAGCAGTGAGAAGTTTCGTGGGTTTGGTGTTTCCTCTTGATGACTTCAAATTCATTCACAGTTCACATGCACTCGTAGCACAAATTGCATTAAAATTATAATTTTTTCTTCTGTGGTTCCCTCCACTCTGTAATGTGATAGGTGGTTACCAATAATTCGGATAACCCTGCTGCCTGCATCAAACAAAATAACAAACTCCATGGTTTTAGTCCGCAAGCGAACTATACCGACCTAGCGACCGCCGCTTGTAGGCGAAGTTAGTGCCAACTTTTGTGGACAGAGGGTATCGCATGATCAGCGCATCGAATCCCCAAGGCCGTTAATCTAACTCGCGTTACTTTTCATTGAAGTAGCTTCTCCATTATCCTCACGAGGCTGAGTGGACCCCGTTCCAGACTCACTACTTCTCAGAAAATCTTGTAGCGCGGGGAATCGAACCCGGGACACCTGGATCTGTATACAGCAACTCTGACCACTAAGCCACAGAGGCGGTCTGCTGCCTACATCTTCAGGTTAAAATATTAAGGCAGTAAGTTAATACGAAATATTACTAACCAACTACAGACTACATGGCGAGGGGGCAGTGACCCTCAAGACCACATTCTAAATTGAATGTATTTTGTGCTAAGAGGATGTGGGAACTGCCCACATTCAAGGAAATGTTGCAGTGAAACGCAAGTATCATTGCTTAGAAACGGCGAGTAAACAGCTCTTCTGGAGGAATAAATATCATTTGAAGACATAATAAACACTGAAAAGGTAGAGTGTGAATTCATCTATGAGTGGAGAGTTCTCAGTGGCAGGAGCATAAATTCCGGAATATGATACTAATTGCTAATCGGTTTTATTAAAGCTACGAAGCAAACGTAAAACTTCGGCTGCAGTTAGATTTGATATTGACCGTGAAAAAGCCAGGATATAACAATCATCACACGTGTTATGATGTCCCAACGCACTTGGCCAGCTCTGAAATAGAAACCCTGCACGTGCAGCTACAGATCAAACTCTGACGTCATCGTCCGTTATGACGCGAAAAATTTAAAGCAGGTGATATTAGGGGTCGTCCGCCGTCTTCCATTCATCCCCGGATGCTATACTTAGGCTTAGGACGCAGGGGGCATGACTCTGTACTGGAGATTCCGAATTCAGCTTCTTCTTGTGCTCACTCAAACCAAGTTGCGATCGGAAATGTTTAAGCTCATCATTAATTCATAGAACATTTCACTACGCTGAAATTATACCGACACACCATTAATTGTATCGGGTATCCTACACAATGATTCATTTGTTAAGAAAGGACGATAATGCCTCTATGGTCTAGTGGTCAGAGTTCCTGCCTACAGATCCAGAGGTCCCTGGTTCGATTCTCGACGCTACCAGATTTTCTTAGAAGTAATGGGTCTGGAACGGGGTCCACTCAGCCTCCTGAGGATAACTGAGAAGCTGTTTCAAGGAAATAGCGGCTCCGGTCAAGAAAACCGAAATTAACGTCTGTATGGATTTGTTGCGCTGACCATACAACACTCTCTATCCGCTATATTTGGCACTAACTTCTCCGACAAGCGGCGGTCGCTCGGTCGGTGTAGTCGCTTGCGGGCCAAAGCCACGGAGTTTGTTTTGTTTTTGTTGTATTTGGTAGGCCCGCAGGTATTGTCACATCGGCTTGTAGGCAACCACTACCGAGATTTCCTCTTACAGGATCTGTCAAAGTTACCGGAGGATGTACCTCTGGCAGTCAGAGCACGAATGTGGCACATGCGCGATGGTGCTCCGGCACATTTGAGCCGTGCTGTGCGAGATGTAACACAGTAACACATCTCGTGACCGATGGATAAGTAGAGGAGGACACACTGCATGGCCATATCCATGGTGAGACGTGTAGAGGTGCGCACTGAATCTCATGGAGCATATTTTAAACACTTACTATAAACGTACTGCTTTAACTCACGAATTAAATGTTTCCGGACATATGTCGNGGCGATACGTTCCTCCGAAACGTCGGTT